GGGCTGTTTGACCTCTAGCCCCCCGCCCACGCGGGCCCACGCGTCGACGCGCCGCCCTGCAGTCTTGGGCACAACGACTGTCTGGACCGTCCGTCACGTGTCCATGCGGCATGTCCCCGCCTCGCTTCCATGACGTCAGCCGCTGCTGCCCCCGGCGGCGCCGCCCCTGTCGGTCTGCGTACGCCGCGACGCTCCCGAAACTGAAACAGCTGCGCGAGACAATAAGTCCATGGCTGGTGTGGTGGACCGGCGGACCCGCATGTGGACCAAAGCCATCAAAGATGAGTGGACAGATGGATGGATAGATTGAGACTAGGATAGCTGGGTACATGGAAGTCCGGATAGATGGATAGATCCCGCTACATGGGCCTCGGCAGCAACATCGACGGCGAGCATGGCTGCCTCGCCCCGGCCCGGTGCTGCACCGTCGTGGCGTGGCGGGGCGCGCCGGGCGCGGCGGGGTGGGGCCCGGGGGCTTGGAGCGCCGCCGCCGCTGCCGTTGCGCCGCGCCGGCCGGCAGTCCTAGCCCGTCTCGCCTCGTGCCCGAGTGCGCCGTGCTGCAGCGCCGTCGTCCCGCCGTCCAGAGCCGCCGCCTCCACGCCTGCTTGCGCCGAACCGTCCGGTCCGCCTCGATCCCACCCGCCGACAAGCAGGTCGCCGTCCAGGACAACCCTGCGACCGTCCATCGGATTGACGCCGAGGCCAACACTCTACGACCGTCAAGGATATCCTCAGCAACAACCATGAGGGAGATCGTCCACCTGCAGGCCGGCCAATGCGGCAACCAGATCGGCTCCAAGGTAAAGTATGTCGTGTGCGTCGAGTCCTCGCCAACCGAAGTCGCCCGGCCAGCCGCACAGCTCTGTGGAGCCGGTGGCCTACCCTACCCTGACGCCCGGCCCGTCACACACCTCTGTGGTGCTGGTGACCTACCCTACCCTGACGCCCGGCCCGTCGCACAGCCCTGTGGAGCCGGTGGGCTACCCTACCCTGACGCTCGGCCCGTCGCACAGCTCTGTGGAGCCGGTGGCCTACCCTAC